TTTTTTTTTTTCTTCCTTGAAGGGTTATGTATTTTTCCTCCCTGCTTGTTTTCTTGCTTTTGATGTGAACAGTTTCTCTGTTGTACCTAGACGGCGGTATGTTGGCATGGGGAAATTGTCTTACCATTGTAGAAGAAATATCTTTTCTTGTACTTCCCACATTAACTACCATTGACTTTGAAGTGTAGTAGTGTGAACTAAATCAAAGAGTGTATTGTCTTTAACTATTACTGGTATAAACCTATGTGCATTCCCATAGTTTTCCATTATTTTTGTATTATCAGCAATGACAAATTTCCCTCACTATATATATATATATATATTCTTTTCATGTGCCATAACTTTTCTAGATAGAGAAAAACAACTCTATAATATCGAGAGAGAGAGAGAGAGAGTGTGTGTGTGTGTGTGTTAAATGTATATATGAACACATACATGTATCATTTTTACCTAAGTATCTACTGCTTTCTTTTCGTTCTCATCTTTTCTGGTAGTAGGGGAGGGGAATCTTTTAGTATATAGCTTTAAAGGAAAGCTAGTGCACTCACTTGTTATTTTAAAATCCCTTGTATATGTAATGACCCGTCAACTCTGTGTTTTGGATGTTTCTTGGAAGAAAATAGACAAAGAGGCTTACCTGGATGCATGGCAACAGTTGGTAAAGGAGGCCATTGGGTGTGCCTTTATTGGCTTGGACTTGGAATGGACATCCATGTCTAAGCCTTGTGTAGAGGAGAAGGAGGAAGAAGGTGAAGAAGAGGAGGAGGAAGAAGAAGAAAAGAATACTCCTGGTATCAACAGGGTCACTGCATGTGTTGGGAGAAAAAGGACACCTACTGTGAAGTCTGCACACTATGTGGGACCTGTGGCAGTGGTGCAGCTTAGTACGTTAAGCGTTACCTTTGTTATAAAGCTCTGTGATGTAGTTCGTATAGCTGAAGGTGGTAATTGTAGTTCTCCACATGGAGAGGCTGCTGGTTCTCCAATCTTGAATCTTGTTAAGGACAACTTGTGTGCTCTCTTAGCAGATGAACGTATTACAAAAGTGGGAGTTGGTGTCTTTGGTGACCAAGAGAAACTACAACGTGACTATACTGGATTCTATATTTCACCTTGTGTAGATCTTATCGTCTTGTCTCATCGTCTCTTCTTCTCCCATGCAGATGTGAAGCGACTGCGGGGTTTAAAAGATATCGCTGAACGTTTTTCTGGTACCATTCTTGAGAAAGATCCCCTTGTAATACGCAGTGACTGGGGTGGAAATCTGGGTCCCCTCTCTCCACTTCAGATTCAATACGCTGCTAGGGACGCAGAAGCATCATTTGATACCTGTCTTGGTATTTTAAGAGAATCACGCGTTATAGAGAGTGATGAGACACTACAAACTGCCTGTACTCTACAGGAATCCCCAAACTCAGTAGTTTCTATTTTACAGGCTCTGGCTGGTGTAAAACGAACCTCGGAAAAGGGACGTCAGAAGAATTGTGAAGAAAACCAAAATGAACGTAATGTATGGTGGTGTAAGGGGCGTTCCAAACCTTACTATCACAATATTTTTCTCTACGATGCCGATATGAATCTTGTCTTTACTGTTGATAAGTCCAAGGCAGAGTGGTATGTGTACAAGAAAGGTTTGGCAAAGGTGACAGAATGGCGGGATGGGGATAACAGTGATACGTCAAGTTCACAGAAGGAGATAGCCGCTATTCAGCTTGTTTTTAGTCCAGATTTTTCAAAGTACAATGACGCTCATATTCGTCGTAATTTGGACTACTTCCGTCAACCCAAAGAGAATCAATGTGTTGTCTGTGGTAATTCGAATGACTTGGTACGATTTGCTGTTGTACCACTAGGTTACAGAAAGTTTCTCCCTAGTGTATACATGAGTCATAACAGCTATGATTTACTACTCTTATGTACTACATGTTTTGCAGTGGTCCGAATAAAATATGATAAAGAGCGACAACGTGTAGCTGAGGATTATGGTGTACCTCTGGGTCACCTAACACCAAAAGAAGTCAAAAAACATCGAGCCATATTGCAGAAGAATAACCAAGAGGAAAAAGAAACTAACATTTCTATAATAAACAGTGATGACAACAAGGTGTTGGCAGATGAAGGGAGAGAGGGTATTTCTTCTTCTCAAAAGAGGTGCATTATGGAAGCATACCTTGATATTGAGGAACATCGTGAAACCCTCCTTAACATATTTAAATATGCCAAAGCCTTACGTGGTTGTTACGATACCTCTACGGATGAAAAAGAAGAAGGAGAGAAGAAAGGAACTACAGAAAATAATGATACATCCATCTCTTTAATGCAAAAAAGGTCTGCAAAGATTCCACCATCCCGTGTAGAACAGCTTGCGTCATATATTCGTTTGCACGCTCCACTATATCCTTTTACAAAGAATACTAAAGAACAAGAAGAATTATTCCTTATTGATGCTGCTTCTCCAGAGTCTGTCAAATACATACTTGAGAGTGGAAAATCACCTCGTGCCGTTTTGACACGTTTTTGGCTTCGTCAACACCCAGAAGTTCGTGATATGTTTTGCAACACGACAAGAAAAGGTGCATCTTTAGAAGATAATCTCTCACTGGAATCACAGGAAGATGAAGGTATGAAGGAAGAGAACCTCTCTGTGGATTGTCACGGATTTCTTGTGGTGCAAGCGGTTTTGCAAAAGTATATGGGACATCCCGATAAGACCCAGGATCACGCTGTAGGTGAGTTTATTTACCGATGGCGTATGTCCTTCGTACGTGGGATGAACCCAAAATACCTGCCGAGTGGCTGGTGTCCGGAAGATGGAATATTGTTGTGATTGTGTTAATGAAATATATGGTTTGTTGCGTTGTTTGCAGCTTTGTAACTATACATATCCTTTTTCTTCTTTCTTTCTTAATGATTGCTTTCTTTTTATATCAGGATGTTTCTACTATCATATTATTCTTAGCTACATACATTTATTACTTTATTATTCTTAAATTATGATGTTTTGTCTTTTCTTCTTCTTCTTCTTCTTTTCCTGTTAGATTGACATTCTACCGTTTGAGTTTTTTGTTTATAATGGCAAAGGAGGAAAGAGTATCTGAAGAAGCACCCCAGGAGGTTCTGCATGGTGGAGAAGTGGTGCGTCATGATGAGGATGGAGATGCCGATGCTGTTGTTGTTGAAGCGTTTCATGATCATTTACCGCCACTGAGTGAAGTAAAGCGATTCACTATTGTTGGGGTAGCCATTTTTGGCTGTATTTGTGCCTCTTTTGCACATTTCTTCAACCTCTTCAGTGGTGAACTTCAGAAGGAGTACAGCCTATCACAGCGGGATCTCTCTACCATCAGTACAGTGGGAACTGTTTTCTGCTTCTTTACTTTGCCCTATGGATTCCTTTATGATTACTTTGGCCCGGTACCTATTTTCTGTATTTCGGCAACTATGTTTCCTCTTGGGGCACTTCTGCTGGCGTTATCTTTTAATGGATTTATTTATGGTACAGTAGCACGCCTCAGCGTCTTTAATGCCATTTTAAACATTGGTACAATCATGTTTGACTTTGGCTGTCAAATGACGTTACTTAGTATCTTTCCTTCCAGTAGAGGTGCTATTGTAGCTATCGGGAAGACGTTTAATGGACTCGGATCTCCAATTGTGGGAACCATTCAACTTGCCTTCTTTGACAATCACCCAGACCATTTTTTCTATTTTCTTATGGTTCTTGTGGTGGTGGTTTCTCTGAGTTGTATGTATTTTCTCCGTCTTCCACCATATCATCTGACCGGATACCAACAATCACACCTCAGCGAGCAAGAGAAGACCAAGCGCCTGGCTACACGAGCACAGTATCTGCGTCAAAAGACACCTGTTCCTAGATTTTTGGTGGGAATATCATTCGTT